GGACAATGGGCTTTAAATAAAGGATCCTGGTTAATGAAACAGCTGATAGTTACACAAGGCTACACAGATCATCAAGCATGGGTTATTAAGGCGGCTCCAGACATATGCACCAGTCTCCAAGCACAAAATATTTTATATTTGGCGATCTAGTTGTCTTGCTATTCGCCAGATTAACAAGTAGACGTCTATACACTTGTGTTGTTTTCCGAGCAACTGTTTATTTCGGGAATAGGAAATGTTCCTTTACTTTGATGTGTGCAAAAATACAGACAATGAATGGAAAAAACACGTGCACAAATGTTTCCTACTTGTCAAATTGACAAACATCTATCCACACTACTCGCGATTTGACGTATCACCTCTCAGTGCTTGGCGAATGGCGCATGGTTTGAACCGCCTTTATATGCACATAGGTGGTGTTGTCATATCAATGATTGAATAGGTTGTTAGGTAATAATTTGTTTTTTCAAATTGGTATTTTTTTACTTTTACCCTCAAAGCATAGAACTTCTTAACACTTATAACAGTCGTTGTGTGGAGCTTATAATTGAAAAAAATAGTGTATTTTACTAGTAATACAACTAGACACTCTATCCCCATCTGAAAGTTGTTCCCTACTTTTAGGATGGCATTGTGAGTAGTGAGGATGTGCTGGAGGCATGGGGCTAGGCTCAAATGGAGCTTTTGTTTTGGGAATTTCTAAGAATCTCACTTTCAGTAGAAGACATTGCAGTTCAAGAGAGCAATGTGCATTTGTACTCAAAGATGTTTTTTTTTTTTCAAAAATCAGTCTATTGTTGCTGTGCAGCTAGCCTTGGCTGCCAACTTATTATCAGGTGGTCTGCTGCAACGCTGTTATAATTTGGTGTCTGTGAAGTACTTTTGTGTATTGCAAAGAATATTTGGAGCTCAAAGAACAATTTGGACTCCTGAAAACATTGAACTTGTAAGAAGATTGATTTTGCAGTCTCCTCAATGTTCTGCTTGTAAGCATGCATCCGCCCTGGCTTTGTCTAATCGTACTGTGTGGGTGTATTCTCCATGAAGACCTACACCTCCATCTTTACAAGAGGATAGTTGCTCAGGAACTCACACAACGGGACTGGCAATAACGAATGCAGGCATGTGAAATCTTAATTTGCGGAACCGCCTCATGCTGCTTGGGTTTTGTTTCGTGACGAGGCACACTTCCATATTTTTGGAGCAGTAAATAATCAGCATATGCTTTATTGGAGTGGAGCTTAGGGTAGTTCAAGGGAAGACCCTAGATGCATTGAAGGATGCAGTTCACCTTGAATTTTGCTGCATTCCACAACAAATGCTTCACAGAGTTTTGATGAACTCCAGAACCAGAATACAGCAGCAGTGCATTTACGATTAGGGACGCCACTTGCAGGATATGCTGTTTAAAACCAAGTAAGGTTATATTAAAATAAACTCCCAGATGTAACCTTTTAATCTCAACTAGCTGTAACCCGCGGGCTTTGCCCCGTTTAACTTCTTAATTTTCAAGATGATCTCGTTCGCATGGCTCAATCACGTCCTGGTTGAAGTTCGTTCGTTACGCTCACTCACCTTTAGGTTGGAGCTCGTTCGCTACGCTCACTCACCTTTAGGTTGGAGCTCGTTCGCTGCGCTCACTTGCCTTCAGGTTAGCTCGTTCGCTACGCTCACTTGCCTTCAGGTTAGCTCGTTCGCTACGCTAACCTGCCTCCAGGTTGAAGTTCGTTCGCTATGCTCACTCACCTTTTGGTTGCAAATTAGCTGTTGTCATAAATGTAAAAGAAATAATAGTGCTGCACCCTGTTGGTAATCCTTGTAACTTTAATGCTTTTGAACATCATAGAACAGAACCAACTTGTTTATTTGAAACAGCTGTTAAGATTCAATAATTCCATTTCTCATAAGGTTAACATGGGAAACTCCAGAGCCACTGGGGCGGATCACGAAATTGATAGTGTATAAACCAATTCCATGAAATTCTACAGTTCTAGTTTCGTGGAAATCGGTTCAGCGGTGTTTGAGTTTATCACTGCCAAACAAATATATATACAAACATCCTCTTTTATACTTATAGATATAAAGTTTGGTTCTAACATTTTTGGTTGTATTTTAATGTACCTTCAAAATTAGGGATACTTCCCTGCCTCGCCATGTAGTTGATGTAAGCCCCTGACAGATAGTGCTAATCTAAATTAATAATTTATGTAGAACTAGCAGACTACTGTCCTTTGTACGGGGTTGGAATATAAGTATAAAATGCTTATTGCAGTTATACTTAAGCTTTGCGTTTGCAATAAGGGAGGAAACAGTTTGATAAAAATTTGCTTTTTTAAATTTACAATATTTTCTTTAGTATTACACATCTACCATAGCCATAATGTTCTACCACTTCACCTATAAACAATAGAGAAAAATAAATTATCAACAATTCACAAAATATCACAAATTATTCATGAAATGAAAAACATAAACATAACTGTAAACAATCCTACTTTGACAGTTCTCATTGCAAATCACAGTTTTTTGTTGCTGCTTAGTTCAAATTAGCTGTTTTCATAAATGCAAAAAAATATAGTGCTGCACTCTGTTGGTAAATCTTTTAACTTTTTAATGCTTTTCCATATCATAGAACCAACTTTTTTAGTTGGAACAGCTGACTAAATTCTTTAATTCCCTTTAAATATGAATACTCATAAGGTTAACATGGGGAATTACAGAGCCACTCTGGGGCAGAGCCCGAAAGGATTTTTAAAATAAGAATATGCCTATGTGCACAGAAAACATACTACTATAACCCAGAATGCCAACCGCATGGTAAAAAGGTTAAGTACTTTGAGAGAGTTTTGCCTGTCAATTCGTAGGCAGCGCCACCAGCGTTGCCATGCACTCAGCATAGCAACGCTGGTGGCGCTGCCTACGAATTGACAGGCAAAGCTCTCTCAAAGTACTTATCGCTTTTTACCATGCGGTTGGTATTCTGGGTTATAGTAGTATGTTTTCTATGCTATATGTTAATCAGGAATGTAAGCTATCATCATGCCAAATTTCAGCCCAATCCGTCCAGTGGTTTATGCGTGATTGAACTTCAAACACACAAACAAACAAACACACAAACTTTCACATTTATAAGATTAGTATAAGTCAAATGTAAGATTAACAATGTAAGATAAACAAACTTTTTACTATTGTGAGCTATAGCAACTGTTATTATGACTCATTAACTTGGTCATCAACAAAAATAAGGTAGAAAAGGGCATTTTTAGATACTAGTGTATTCTGTGACTGGCTTACACAACAATGTTATTTTTTAACAGAAAAATGTTTAAAAGCTGGTTTCATGGGAGGCAAAAGTCTACTTCAGTATCCAATAGTCAAAGGTATTGCCATAGACTAACCAAAAGAAGTAGACTTCTCATCCCATTGTAAATTTTGAGGCTCCTTTATCGTGTATAGTTCATGTATGGTGATAGTGACACAGGACGCTAGTGTCAACATAATTTTATTTTATAATTTTACAGTTAATTTCTTGATTTTCGCTTCACTGTTTGGTTTTATATAACTAGTTGATGATTTATTGTTTATAGTTAGATTATATTATTAGACTAAAATAGGTTTTAAATGACTAAAATACCAAGAAACAAATTGTAAACAAAACATGGCCTCAGCAGTACACCATACAGAACTAACAATAAAATTTATTGTCTTCAGCTGTTCCATAAGGATGAGAAATCTACTAAGGGATATGTTTTATCTATGGTATTACTGACTAAAGGGGTGTTTACAATGTCACGGCTAAAATCAGGCGTGTAGGTAAGAAATTTTCTCACTTTCTTGAGAAGCATAGCCACGTCTCGTGTAAACAGTGGAGACGTGGCAACCCAATACGCCTGTTTCCCACGCCCTAAGGACTAACCAAACCGTGTTTGGTTGCTACACCAGTTGCAAGAAGTCATTGTCTTCCGTCTCGTCGTTGTGTGCACTATTTAAATGTCCATTTAAATAATTTGTATGAATAGTTGGCAAAAGAAACTAAAATTTTTATATTTCAATATTGATTGTATTACGGTAATAATGTTGAAGCTGGACCGCCTTCTCACTAGGTTAAAGCCACCAAGAACTAGGATCTGCAAAATTGCATTGAGTCTCATGTAGCCCATCACATTAGCAGGTTGCAGTTACCCACCTAGGTGACAGCAGCCGCGGTAGCCACAGTGCCGTGTTACAGGTCAGTGGCTGATACTGTGCTTTTTAGGGACTCAAATTCTAGTGGGCCACTGTAATATACATTCCCTTCACATCAGGTAGCTGAGACCCTGGGACCTAGCTTTCAGCAGTAGCCCACATGAGGCTTGCCTAAAAATGCTGTGTATTAAGGCAAAAGTCCATCTGAAGTCAATAATAATACAGTTTACACTTTGTATTTTTGGGTCTTTATTTGTAATGCCTAAGATAATTACCGTTTTTGATATGATAGGAAATTTGTATAGTTACTTTTACATTAGACACAGTGTTGCTTTGGTCGGTAGTTACCATAGCCATAACAAGCACAATACATTAATTAACATTGTTATAATCTGTTACGCCTGTGCTTAACACGTTCGCTACCGTGCGTGGCATATATGCAACACCCCGATCATTGCCACGGACCAAGGTATACAATTTAATCTTATACCTAGACTAGCTGTCACTTGGTTGAATTATTGACATTTTATTTTATTTTGTAAACATAGTAATTGTACCACAAATAAAACAACAATAAAAACACAAAGCAACAACAACACAGTATTTTAATTTTTTTGTTAAAACCAAAGCAACATTTTTACAGCATAAAAATTAACATTTATTAACAATCCTCTTCAAATTCTTAACAAAAAATTAACATTTAATAAAAATTCTCTTCAAATTCTTAAAAAAAACATATTTAATTTAAATCCTCTTCAAATTTTTAAAATTTAACAATCTCTTCAAAACAATCTCTTCAATCCTAAAAAAACAAACTTCAAATTCTTAAAAAAAAACATATTTAATTTAAATCCTCTTCAAATTTTTAAAATTTAACAATCTCTTCAAAACAATCTCTTCAATCCTAAAACAAACAAACAAATATTAAAATTCATTTTTGTCGATTCTTGGTTTTTTTTAACACATTTCAGGCCACACCATGTGTTTCTTGAGATTAGATTCTCAACCTTTTTACTACTAAGGCCACACTTTCAATCCTTCAGACTACAGTACAAGTGACATATTTCCCGTAAATTTACCTAGGACTTGGAAATCTTTCAACAATCCAAAGATGGTGGCAGCCCAGTTGCTACAGAACATATTTGACTAAATGCTTGAAATTTAATTAAAAAATTAGGTGCTGGAACCTATTTTTTTTTAAATGTGATTAGTACCACTGACTATGTACAGATTCTGTGTATAGTCAATGTTAGTACCCATTTATGTACCTATTACTGCCATATTTTTATCTTTTTTTTATTTTAAAGAAAGGTACTGGAACTCTGTTCTGCTGACTTCCCCCGTATATCGAGCACTGCATTTAGCTATATCCTATACATTACTGATACCAGTTAATAAATTTCTTTGACTGACAAAAGAGAAACGCAATAATTGTAATGGGTTGAGGATTTGTATTAACCTTAGGGAAGGAGGCTATAACTGCTAGCAAAAAGGTTTGGTCTTAGCCCTCTTTCACACCAGTGCAATAAGGACAGTCCCGTACCAGAGAAAGCTGTTTGGATTGTTGAATCATATAGGAGCTTTCACAACCGCGTGGGTTCACTTTGACAGACCTAAACCTCTGTCCGGGTTGAGGAATCAACTCCCTGACAAACCTAAACTTCCATGCGGGACTGAACAGCTATTGATAAAAACATTGGCCCTTTAAAGCCCACCATACATGGGCAAACATGTTCATGACGGTGTTGGCGGCGAACATGCTCGCCAGTGTGTGGGGTCTGCGAGCCTTTGTACCGGCGAGCATGTTGGGCTCGGCACTCGGCTTGTCGGACTATCACAGCACGAGAGAAGGAAGAGTACTGTGCGGTGGCGGCAAGCAAGTTTGCGAGCATGCTCGACCGTGTACAGGGGGCTTTAGGCCCGCCGCACATTGAAGTGAGGCGAGGTGCAGGTGAGATGAAGGCTAGGTGCAGGCTGGAGCGAAAACTTTTTCGTGTCACCGCACATTGAAGCGAGGAGGGACAGAGGTTTCCTAGCATTGGTCCTTCTATCGTGAGTAGGAGGAAGATTTTTCGGACGTTTGTTGATTCTGATTGTGAGTTTAAAATTTAGTTTTACTCTATTCTATCTAAAAAATGTAAAAACTGTTTTGGGAAATGTGATTACCGTACACGAAAAAATATCAAGCCACGGAGAGTATTTTTTAACTACTGAATTACCAGACCAGTCTGTAAGAAAATATTTTTGTATGAACAAACAACAGTTTGAAAATATCCATAAGTTGATTGAAAGTGACATTAATGGAAAGGAATGCAATACTCAGAAACATATAGCCAACTGAATGAAATGCTACATTACTATCTTTCACTCACAAAACACTATAGAACAAACGCAGGCGCAAGCGAGGTGCAGGAAAACTGTATTCCAACTACAACGCTGCGGGGGCCTGACAGAGGCTGTAGCTGTGCTGCGCGGAGGCTGCGTGCAGCCTCTGCTCAATGTGCGGTGTTCCATTTAAACAAGTGTATTACAGAATCAGCCGCGCCTTGCCTGTACCTTGCCTGTACCTCGCCTCGCTCCAATGTGCTTTACGCTTTCTCACTTGTGCGAGATCAAAAGCACTCAGTCTATTTTAATGTGACTAGCCATCGCATATATGCGACGCCAGTCTATGGGTGGAAACCGGCCATCGCATATGTGCGTCGCTGGTCCATGTGAATGAAAAATTTTGTACTATTGCAGTAGCGAACGTGTTAACTTACCTTGCGCAGGCATTCTATGGTTAATTATGGCAGATAATCATGGGTAAGTTATAGTTAAGTTATAGTTTTTACCAATTTTATATCATTCTTCATACATTATAGACGTTTGTAATAAATATTACATTATAGACTATATAACTACAACGCTGCGGGGGCCTGACAGAGGCTGTAGCTGTGCTGCGCGGAGGCTGCGTGCAGCCTCTGCTCAATGTGCGGTGCTCCATTTAAACACGTGTATTACAGAATCAGCCGCGCCTTGCCTGTACCTCGCCTCGCTCCAATGTGCTTTACGCTTTCTCACTTGTGCGAGATAGGCTGGTTTTGCCCAGACATAATTCATTATAGTGTTGACAGTATACTTCTATCAGTGGTTGAGTGTGGACGATTTTCAAGCACTTTTGCTAACTTAATATGGAAGTTTGTTTGTTTTATTTTATATTTTTGTAGAATGGATTGACAAGAGGTTTGTTTGGAACTAAACTCATATTTTTTACTGTCTTGGATGACAGGGCAAAGAACATCTCAGTTACAGTAAGTAAAGTGTGTTTGTTTAAATAGCCTACTTTAAGATTGCAGACATACTATGGGTTTTTTTATTTACTTTTTTATTAACTATTCTTCCAAGTCATAATATGTAATAACTTCTGAAAAATACATTCTATTGACCATTTTTTGTTTGTTCATTTTACCTACAGACATGCAGTCACTACAACGGCTGTAAAGCACTCTCACAGACAAAAATCTCTAATTTTTTGCTTGGAAACACCCGGATCTGGGTAGTTAGTATAAAAGGGTCTTCGGGCCATCCCGCATCAACATTGCTGGGTGGGCCTGAACGGAATGGTGTGAAAGAGGGCTTAGTTAGGAAATACATGTCACTTTAGGCCTCTAATATCCTAAAATTTGCAAATCTATATGGGGTGAGGAAAGACGTACTACAACAGTACCCCAACTGTATGGTTCAAAAGCATCATCACAGAGAATGCACCACCATAGATACTGTCTGCCTTCTACCACCACAAAACATTTAGCCAGGCACATCTCTGTCTTGCAGCCTACTGCAAGGGCCAAGGCCAAGTAGGTTTACGTCACGTAATCCAGGATAAACTGTGTTTTTGTTAATACTTTCCACAATATTCATCAAAAAGGCTTAATCTAATGAAAAATAAAATAAAAAAAAATACATAACAATGCCCCTGCCCCTAAAAAAAAATAAATCAAAATCAGCCTTCACAGGAACATTTACATATACACATACTGGGACGGGTGGCGTCGTCCTGTAATCCAGCTACTAGGAGGTCACGGATTGTGGATATTTATAGGCATGCACTGTGGATGGGATACTCCCTGGCGTGGATTAACGTCCGCACTAGTGAGTATTACAACTATCCGCAGTACTATCCTGATAATTAGACCAATTCGTATATACCAAGGAAAAAATGTGGTCCGAATTCCACTATAAACTGTAGGTCCCTTAGTTGCCATTAGCTGTTTGGGCTATTAATTAACAGCTGTGTCTAAGGAATGTCGGCCTTGGTCACTAACAAGACTACAAGATCGCGCCACTCATTCTACACTCATCTCCATTCATACTTGGCTTAAAATTCCTACATTGTATGGTCGCCATTTCATAAGAAAGTATACATAGGCCCTACATATACACTTACTTCATTATCACTCTTCTCTGCGTCTTTCTCGAGTCGAGCGTTTTTCCTTTTGCCCTCGGTTCGGGCATGGAAAGTCTGAGTGTAAAGTCGCTTTACTGGACCTCTCTTTTCTTTTCTTTGATTCCCAGCAAAGCATCTATTCAAATATAAAATGGTCTCCTGGAGACTTTTGTTGTTGACTGAAATCAATAACAAAATTATTAATTCAAACTTATGAATAAAAATATAGAAACAATTCATTGTTTTTCAAACTTGTTTAAGATTAGTTATTGTTTTTCAAAATGTCAAGTTAACTCTGAACTTTATTTTGGTACATATATTGTAGTTGTGCAAAATAATAAATACAAATAAGTACAAAATATTGTGCATTTTTGATAGGATTCATAAGCTAGTAATTAGTCCCTATGTTAACTGAATATTAATTGTTAGACATTGTTCATAAATGAAATTGAACTAATAACTGTAATATTTAGTACTTACCAAGTAGAGCCGCCAACAGTGGCGCCCTTACATGTGGGTACATGTCGGTTAATATGCGCATGTTCTTCATGCAATCTTCCGCTTCTTTATTTAGAGAATTTATCATATTCTTGTAGATTGACATCTAAAACATAATTACAAACGTCTATAATGTATGAAGAATGATATAAAATTGGTAAAAACTATAACTTAACTATAACTTACCCATGATTATCTGCCATAATTAACCATAGAATGCCTGCGCAAGGTAAGTTAACACGTTCGCTACTGCAATAGTACAAAATTTTTCATTCACATGGACCAGCGACGCACATATGCGATGGCCGGTTTCCACCCATAGACTGGCGTCGCATATCAGAAATCAGAATCAGAAAATCTTTACGTCCGCACTTCACGTTATTATTGGACTTTGCATATATGCGATGGCTAGTCACATTAAAATAGACTGACGACGCATCGGGGTTCTAATGTTATTAAAATGATTATATCTTTGTAACGGTCTATTTGAACGCACTGAATTCCCTGCAATAGTCTACAGAGATGTCTGACGCACAACTGCGTTGCTTGGTCTGTGGATATGATGATTAGTGACGTCATATGATAGTTGGAAAAACTGGTCTTTACTTTTCTGCATCACTGTATGTATGTATGCAGTATTTATGCTGCATTATCCTCTGTAGCTTTTATATTTGTTCAGTTATGAACTGTTCTTGAAAATTTGTTTTTTTTTTTACTTACTTTTACCTCAAAACACAACAAAAATGAACTGTCACATATATATGCGATGTTTGGTCTATTTCAAGAAAACTATGATAATTTTCACTATTGTCTTTGCTGTAGACCAGGCGTCGCAAATATGCGACATTACTTAAGGTTATAAAAAATACAAAAAAACAAGAATAAATTATTTACAAACACGATTGTGGCACATTACAGTGTAAATGATCACTGTTTTACGGGTTTTCACACGTGGTCTGTGTGTACTGTTAACCAAGTGACAGCCGGTCTATGTGTAAGATTCAAATGTATACCTCGGTCTGTGGCAATGACCGCGGACGGTAGCGAACGTGTTAAATGTAGAAAAAATGTTATTGGCTTTTTTAGGGTAAACAATAAGCTATAAGACCTTAGAGTTAATTAAAGAGTTACAACGTGTTATTTTCTGTAAAAAAAGAAACAGAAATAAGGTTTAGAACAGTAAAAAGAGGTTTTGGCATGCATTAACAATATTTTATATCTATATATTACAACAGAGCAGCAACTATAAAAGGTGCGTTAAGTAATGGTGAGTGCATGGGCTGCGATTGCTATTGCCAGTAGATGGTGAGAAGAGCTAGACCGAAAACAGCGCCCACAGTGCTACTGAGAGCGCAATCCATGTAGTTCTTTACATTGTTGTCTAGTGTATGCCTAGCAACTAGGCCTATTTATTATTATTTTTGCTGATTCCTTAAATCTTCATATAACCTTAAAAGTTTACTTGTGATGATTGTTAGTGTGCATTATTATTATTGTGATGAATAGTAGTAATGTAATAGGGTATAACTTAGTGTGGTGAAAAATAAAAAATGCATTTGTAGCCTACCACGGATTGAAAAAATAGTTTTGCAGCTCACAATCGTTTTAAGTTCAAGACTTTGCCTTGGAAAAACTATCTCGAGCCGGCAAAACCTCATTTTTGGCCCTTGGTACAAAATATACTATTACACAGTAAAGTGTACCTAGTTAAGTTTACATTTAGGCCTACAGTAATAAACTTCAAATTGAGGTTTGTAATGTGGTTTGAATAATAAGTATACCTACGTAAGTTCACGTTTAGGCCTACAGTAATAAACTTCAAATTGAGGTTTGTAATGTGGTTTGAATAATAAGTGTACCTACGTAAGTTTACGTTTAGGCCTACTGTAATAAACTTCAAATTGAGGTTTGTAATGTGGTTTGAATAATAAGTAATTGCTTATTTTATTGATTAAAACCAATAACTGCAAGCTAACACGTTTAAGAGATAGGCACAAGAACTCTGGGGTCAAAAATAGATTTCAATTAAGTTCTCATTAGGCCTACTTAAGTTAAGTACATAGTTTTGGAATTTAACAAAGAGTCCCAATAATCTAGTAATGGCATGCAGTACCCTGGTGACAATTTTATCAATTTTGATAGCAATGACTCTGGAAGCAACTTTTTACAAATGAATTAGTCTACTAAGTAGGCCTAACTTACATTCAATCCCCTTCAAGATTAAGTATTCATCACCCTGCAGCATAGCATTATAAGTTAAGTTAGATACATTGGTTTTGTCTGATAAAAACTAGCCTAAATTAAAAGTTGTACAATATTATATTATTCCTTTACATTATAATACATTTATATAATTTAGATTTAAGTTAATTAACTAAGCCTAGTGAAACATGTACTACAACTTAAGGTAATGAAATAGGCCTACCGTACTATAGCAGTAATAGACCTATCTGGAAAGGAACAATTTCAACATTTATTTAGCCTAACTTTGTCATATTATGCTCCAAGTATAATATTAAAATATATAAGTTATTACTCTACAAACAATAATTTATAAATACTATGAAAACAATTGATTTAATAAGTAAAATACTTACGTTGTACGAGGAAAATCCACAAGGAAGAATTCCAAAACGAAGAAAAGGAAGTCGGAAATAGAAATAGCGCAACGAAACGCATCAACATTCGAATCAAGCAACAGTGAAGCAAACAAAAAAAAACGCAAAAACGAAGCCGTAGCATCGATTATAGTTAACAAATGCCTTCCCAAAAACTGTATAACATATAATTATCCTTATACTTCTTATGGAACTTTTCAATAGTAATTTTAATAGGCCTGGCGTTTAATAATGATATACAATTGGGAAAATAAAATATCTTTACTATGGATAATATTAATTATCACCACCATCTTTTTGGCCTGTTAAATATATATCTAAAGGGCCCCGTAACGTAAAAATGTGAACTTGAAAAATGTGAAATGTAGATTTTCTTTAATTGTTCCAAATAACATAAGGACACCAATACTGGAAAATTATTAAATCCCAACTCGTATACTATGAAATGCGATATTAATACTGTAACAAAGAATATTAGCATAAGTATGATTTATCTATGATGTTAGAAAACAGCAAACTCAAGCCGCGTTACCGGACCGGACGCTTAATACATAGATAATCATTGATATCATTTATAAGCAAATATTCATGGGCCCATCAGTATTTTAGTAAAAGTAAAGACCTTTTAACTGAATGTTAAAGTGTTACTTAGTATACTCATAGATAAAACATAATTCTTATTTTAATTACGTCTACACCATTTTTCAGAGTTGACATGCTGATATTAATACAAATACAATATTGAAAGTTAATTAACAAAAAAGTAATAACGCAAGAATAATATGAAAGGAGCATAACTACTTGCCTAATTAAATTAGCATCCCTTCTGCCTTGTACATAATGCAAGAACACATACAGTAGTCTATATTTTTGTGAATTTATATCGATGTCGGTACTTTTTTATCAACAAATTTAATATGTACGAATCTTGTTTTTTTATGTCTACAATAAAAAAACTAACGGTTATAATACAAAATGATCATAATGATTATTATAGACATATTATACTACATACTGTCCAGATAATACATCCACGTATATCATATAGCCACGATATAGCGCAGCTATACAACAAAATCTAGCTCTAATATCAATCCTCATACAAACATAACCTAGTTAAAGTAGTAATTTCTCTATGAACCGGATATCGAATTACTCTAAGCAGATTTAAATTTGGATTCCTTAAATCCTTAATCAATCCATTCCATGTTCTCTTCTCTGTCTTTCTAGTGAGGATTGTTGAGCTGTGTGCAATTTATTAGTACTAGGACTAGTCGATAAACTTGCACCAAATTTTATAAGAAACAACAATTTTCTCTTCTATTTATCAAACCAATGCGTAATTCATCAAAACTTTGGAAACTATGTGAATCTTTCTTATTACAGTAAGTAAGCTAGTTTAGGTCTAATTATTATTAGGTACAAGAAATTACCGTAAGTTATCCCTCAAAATGGTAGGTACCTACATACTAAAATGGTTTGGTCTGAAAAATATGGTAGGCCTATATTAGCCCTCTTTAACCATGGTGACTAGCCTACTTTATATGTTGTATCAATGTTGGTAATAAGTTAAGCTAGTCCAACAGGTTAAGCCGTAAAATGATAAGCTTATGCATTTTTCCTTGCACCTTTGACCTTGATCTTTAAATTGATCATATACTTAGGCTATAGCCTAAACCTAAAAAATGAACCTATTGGGCTTTATAGGCCTCGCAGGTCTATTAATGATCATTTATTGGTATTGGTCTAACTTATTGGTCTAGGCTTTCCAAGTGGTTAAGTTAGACTTCCGTATCTGTCGGCACAAACATCTGAATGAAAATATCGATTAGGCTTATTCGATTGTTTCATTCGATAAGTTACATTGTTTGGTTAGTTAGGTTGATTAACCTTTCCTAACTAACCAAATGATAGGCCTATATCGAATATTCGATATATCGAATGATATTTTCATTAGTTTTTTTGTGCCAACAGATGCAGAAGTCTACCCTTCCTAGTTATAATTTTAGTCTGCTTTTTAAACAGAAAGGAAATAGGACAGGTCCAATGACAAAATATTCTGCTTATTAAGTTCAAGCTTCTAACTTAGAGTGGCCCTTATTTTTAATGCAGAGGATAGTCATACGCGTTGGTTAATCGGACATGGATGGATTAGGCGTCTGGCAGTGATGTCACCGGGTTGTTAGGACCCAGAACACCATCACCACAATGATTTAAGGGTAAACAATCAGTGTTCATGGTGTTATGGATTGAGTAGGCTACTTACTCGGCTGATGTCCAAGAGGTATCCAGATGAAATCCTACCGGTGGCACTAACTTTTAGTCAAATATTTTAATTGGAATGCAATTTCTTTTTGGTTACACAGAGGATAAGTGCGTCCGGTAACCGGACGTGGATTAGGCGTTCGGCAGTGACCTCACCGGGTTGTGGGGGCCCAGAACACCATTATAGCCTACCACAACGATACGATGTACCTACATCCATTGGTGTTCGTAGTGTAGTGGATAGAGTGCTCGGCTGATGTGCAAGAGGTCCCTGGTTCAAATCCCATTGGTAACTCTAATTTTTTGTCAAAGATTTTGCTTTGACTGCCATTTCTTCTTAACCCTTTCAGTGCTAGGCTAAGAATTCATATTTCGTAAGACATTTTTGTTTGCCTTTTAATTCCATTACCTGTTGTTGAATTTTAACTGTAATGCTAACAATTTTATTAATTAGGCTAATTTTGAATAATAAGACAATAAGAAAATAATAACAAAGATAAATCCCGGTATTTGTAGTAAACATTAAATAAAACTTAGTTTTTGTTGTAATTTTCCTGGTTTTCCTATAAGTTTTTATGTTCTGATAGCATTGTTTGAAACAAAAATCTCATAAAATCAAAAGACATATAGTTAACAATGTAATATTGAATTTAACTTTGATTTAGTTGGACGAGGTTATCGTAATATCGCCATTTTATAGGGAAACTAATGTTTTTCAGCAACATCTCAGGAACACATTTATGATCACTGTTGTGCTTTCAACTAAAAAATGTCATCTACATAGTCTGTGACTAACTGGTGCTGCTACCTAGTAACGCATTGAACAACCATCCGTAGCGCTATCTGTTCGCAATCGGCAAAGTCAGCTTAAATACCGGTTTTTGACTCCTTGGTCTTCAAGCACAGATAGCCGAGAAGGCTGGGGCGTGTGTCACTTGGCCCGTGGCATTCGTCTGCTTGGGTTCGAATCCCGTCCTGTGTGGAAAATAATTGGTGACCTGTGTGTTTGTAGCGATATACTACAACCACTGGGGCATAGTGAGGTGTTCATAATCCTTGGCTTAGACATACACCTCAAAATCATTGGATTGGGCGAATCTTTTAGCTAAGTGGTTGATAGTGTATCCTATGAACATGCAGGTCACCAATGGCCGTTTTGCTACTTTTTGTTAAAATAACCTTCCTCTCTATATCCCTTAGAGATTTTTTAAAACAACGATATATCGTTTCATAGCACTGAAAGGGTTAACTGTACATCTTTTGTTAGATTTTTGGCATTTATATATCTATTTCATGAACAGAATTTAACCTTTTAAGTTTGGTTGGTTAGGTTAGGTTATGACAGTAACTGCCAGACGCCTAATCCACGCCTGGTTATCCAATGCGTATCCTTTGCGATCTTTTTAACTGTAAGTTAAGTTAGCATTTGAGGCACTAAGTTAACTACCGGAAACTTTTATTTTAGGAACACAATTTAACCTTCATTCAATTTTGTCATTATCAGCAATTTTTGTTAGTTGTTTAGTTATGACAGTAACTGGTGGACACCTAACCCACGTCCTGTTAAGTTACCGGACATGTAACTTATCCTCTGCATATTTATATAACAGAAACATCAACCCTATAGTTTAAGTTTAGATACATTTTCGAAAAGCCTAGAACCTACAATATAAGCTTGGTATGCTATTAACTAATAACAGTTTCATTTTCATAAAAATAGGTATCAACTTTTTAGACCTAGGCCTAATGTAACAGGTTAGTTTAACCATGGACAAATAGAATTAAATGTATAGACCGACAGCAGTGCTGCAGTTAGATCACGTTCTGGTGTCCACCGCTAGGAGTGCCGTGTAGTTACATAGCACGTGCGCCATAACTATTCGGAGCTCCTAGCGATAGACAACAGAACTTGGGCTTCCCGCAACACTGATGTCAGTCTATATTTAATTATAACTTATTTGAGTATGGTTTAACTTAAAGCTTAGAACAGATTAGTTTAGTAGCATTCATAACAAACGCAAGTTAGTACAACTGAGCAGGTTTAGCATGACCGATGGACTGGTGATGCACAGTTGCTGCGGAGTGGATTTCAGTGGTGGGGGGATCGAGCGGCTCAGTTTGTTGCTAACCTGTGCGTATCGCTCCATACATTTTGAAGATTGTAATTTTTTAATTCTTAATTTTAATTATTTATTTGAAATAAAAGACGATGGACGCCACACATGGCGGATCATCCGCGCGGCTTATGACCGTACAATCATAAGCGGCGCGACGATGTCCCGGCCACACGGAGTGGATGAACCGCTTCCGGTTGAGGTTTCCCAGCGTATGTATTGTTTTAAGATTAGAACATGGTTTAATTCACTCGTTCTCGTTGTAGTCATGGACAAAACACTTATGTTAGTTTGTGCATTAGAAGCGTGTGGTGAGCTAGTGACTAAGGTTAACCGAAATCATTGGGTCCATCCTTTCATAACCGACAAACAATTTGTGTTCCAAACCTTTTACGAGCACATGCGAAACAATAGTTCGGAAGTTTTTTTTGTTACTATTGCATGTAGATAGAATCTTTTGACGAGCTACTTCAATTGCTTTGACTGCATATATCTAAGGAAGATACACTCATGAGAAATGTACAACATGAAATACAACATGAGAAATCCCACAGACATAGTTTGTCTTTAACAAGTTCTATTAATTTGTCTGTATTGAACATTTTATACCTTTAAACCGAACAAACAAGCACAAACTAAAAAAAAAACCCCTACAAATGCTTGAAAATGAGCTCCAATTGC